TTAATGTTTTATTTTAAATTACTATATGCAGAGAAGTGTATCTTCTGCAATCTCTAGAGAAAGATTACATTTTCTGGTGTTTGCAGGAACCTAACCCCCTATTTCCCATAGGTTCAGTGTATCAATATTTGTGTTTTTTACCTTTGCACTGTTTTCTAGAAACACTAACCCTATGAAAGTTGAGGACTGACTATATTAACATTAGGTACTTTCTACTGTATTTTTATTTTTGTTAAATATTTCCCAGCTACATTTTAATCTGACTTGGCTATACTTGAGAGTGTCATGAATGGTTGGCCCACAAGAAATAATGAAGGGGATGCTTTCAGAAAAACCTAAGGTTTGCGTGAACTGATGCAAAGTAAAATGAACAGAATCAGAACAATTTATATTAACAATAATACTGGAAAGATAAATAACTCTGAAAGACTTAGGAATTATGATTAACATAATGGAAACAACCACTGTTTGTGAGGATTTATGATGAAACATGCTATCTACCTCCAGATAGAGAAGTGATGGACTGAGAGAATAAATGGAAGTATTTTTTTTTTAGACATGGCTAATATAGGAATTTGTTTTGCTTGACTAAACAGATTTGTAATGTGTTTTGTTTCTCTTGCTTTCTCAATGAGTAGGGAAGGGGAAAGTGGGTGGGAGAGAATTCAGAACTGAAAATAAGACAAAATTGAATTTTAAAAATAAAAATTGTTGCTAATCTTGGTGAGAGCAATTTCAATTGAGAGTGAGATCAAAGGTCATATGTAAGGAGTTAAAAAGTGAGTGGGAAGAGAGAAAATGAAGACAATCAATGTAATTAGCTTTTTTTCAGGAGTTTCCCAGTGCTACAAAGGAAGGAAAGTTATGGGATGATAGCTTAAGGGGATGGTAAGGTCAAGTAAAAGTTTTTAAGGGTAAGGGAGATTTATGTGACTAAGATAGTATTGTAAAGAGAAGAAAAGACCAGTTCTTCTCCATGACATTCCACAAAAATCTAGAAAAGGCACTAGATGAAATCCTGATAGTGAAATCCAACAGAAAAAAATCAGTGATTCATTTTTATAGCCCAGGAGAGTACTAAGGGACAGACAGAGGTTTATGGACATTAGGGATGGGATCTAGCCAGCATCTGAGCCTTCTACCTCAGGACCTGAACTAGGTGCTGGACCTATAGTTTTTCAACATAGAGGATGAAGCCAATAAAATGATAAGACATTATTAGAAAAAAACTGAAATGGACATTTGTGATGAACACATTGCATTCCGAAAGTATGCAAACATTTATAGTCCTGTAGCTGTTCAACAGCGCAAGAGTTCCCAGATCTAGTACAAAGGAGCCTGACCTTGTACAGGAAGTAGAAACAGATTCCAGCTGATAGCTCTGATGCTCACACTCCAGAGCTGAGTCAAAAATCCAGTGAGGAGCAGCTAGGTGGCACAGTGGATAGAGCATCCTGAAGTCAGGAGGACCTGAGTTCAAATCTGACCTCCAACATTTGACACCTACTAGCTGTGTGACCCTGGGCAAGTTACTTAACCCCAACTGCCTCACCTAAAAAAAAAAAAAAAACCTAAGTAGGGGCAGCTAGGTGGTGCAGTGGATAGAGCACTAACCTTGGAGTCAGGATGACCTGAGTTCAAATCTGGCCTCAGACACTTGATACTGACTAGGTATGTGACCCTGGGCAAGTCATTTAACCCCAGTTGCCTTGCATTCCATTCTCCCCCCAAAAAAAAGTGTTCAAAAAAATCCAGTGAGGACTGAAGAGAGGAGCTGTGCCTAGGGGTATCAAAAGGTCACAAGGACCTGTGCCTAGGGTGGCAATTCAGGGCAAGGAGTGGTCACAAGTCCTAGGCTGTATACTGAGCAAGAAGTAAGTAGAGAAGTGAGCATGTTTTAAAGTTTGTAAAGCACTTTCATATGTTATCTCATTTGATCCTCACAACAATCCTGCAAGCTAGGTATTATTTTTATCCCCAATTTACAGATGAGTAAACTGAGGTTGAAAGAGGTTAAGTGACCTGCCCAGGGTCACACAGTGTCTCAGGCAGGATTCAAACTCAGGTCTCCCTATACTCTTATCTACTGTGCCATGTTGGTGTCGTCTTTATTAAATTTCTATTTATGCTGTATATTTTTTATATGTACTTGTTATCTTTTCCATTAGAATATAAGATCATTGCAAGTATGGATTCTTTTATCCTTTGTACTAGTATCCCCAACATCTAGCACAGTGCCTGACACAGTATATACACTCAATAAATACCTGTTGATTCCATCATTGATTATTTTTTCCACAATCTAAGCCAAAAGATGATCTCTACTTCCCTTCACTTCCAATTATTAGTGCTTTCTAACTTTCAGCTACAACTGACAAAAATAACATGGTTTTTCTTTTCCTTTCAAGTTTACAGTTCTTGCTGTTTGGAGTAGATAATCTTGAAGGTCTAAATTTCTTTGATGCTATGAATTCCTCACTAGGCTGCACTCTAGACTTCTCCATCATGTCCCAGAAACTTTTTCATCCTGGAATATCACCCCCAGCTCTGGAATTCATTCCTTAGAAATAACCTCTGGGCTGTCAGCCCCTCCCTGTGACTGGATGGCTTCTCCTAAGCCAGCTACCTCTCCTTCCCTTTTCTTCCTCTCTCCATTTTCAGCATGTGATGTCTTCTCCATTAAAAGAAAAGCTCTTTGAGGGCAGGGACTGTCTTTTTGCTTGTATTTGTATTCCCAGCACTTAACTTGTTGCCAGTTATCATTATTATTATTATTATTAATATTATCATTATTGTTGTTGTTGTTAAGTGCTTGTTGACTGACTCTAGTAATTGTGTTTTAGAATAAAAAAGCAATATTTCGGTATTTCCTTTATAGGAACACAAATGATCATTTTGCACAATCAACTGAATACATTAATTAAAGGAAGATTGAAAGAAAAATGTAAATGATCGTCTTAGCTGAAATCCACTGGGATTCAAGTAACAAAAAACCGTGTAATATAACTGGATCATCAAAACTGCTAAATATATTATTATAATGATATAGTGATAATAAATAACTCATAGTACAGAATTGGTCACTTGTACACTCTCTATAAACATAAATCATGATGATGACATAAGTAATTAAGTCATCCCTTGCTAGGAATATCCTCCTTGGTTTCCTTGGTTCCCTGGCTTCCTTCAAGACACAGCTCAAATACCATCTTCTACAAGAGGCCTTTCCCAGTTTCCCCCACTGCTGATGCTTTCCCTCTAAGATTATCTTCCATTTAAACTGTGTATGTATCTTGTATGGGCAAAGTTGTTTTTGTGCTATCTCTTCCATTATAATGTGATATCCTTAGGGGCAAGGACCATGTATTTTTCTCTGTATCCTTGGATCTTAATTGGAATCTATGTTGACTTCAACATAGTGATGTCATTTTGGTCCTCTTCAAGAAGGAAAGACAACAGCCAATAGTTCTTTCTTAGTACAGTGCCTGGCACATATAAGTGGTAACTAAATGACCTAATTTTACAGTATTTATTATATACATGTATATCTATGCACACACATATATAACCCCCCACATATATATATATATATCACAACTATATATACAAATATATATATATATGTATCAGCAAAACGTAATTTCCAATAAAAAGCATTCTATGTGGACTTTTGTGTCCTATTTACTGTAACTCAGTTCTTAACCTAATGAAGCCTAGCTGACTTCATCAAAATGATGATTTTAAATGCATAAAATAAATTAGGACTACAAAGGGAACCAATTTTATTGACATACAATTACCATTGAAATATTTTTAAAAATAGATTCAGGTACCACACATTAAGAACCTCTGCTCTAACTACAGCATAAACAGATCTCACACTTTCGGGTATCCTAATGCTGATAGAACACCAGGAAAATTCCTACTCCCTCTACTGGCAAAACTGTAGCATCTTGCCTGTGTCCAGGTACCCTATGTGGTTTATTTATTTATTTGTTTGTTTTTGTTACTTCTTCCTCCCTCACCGCACCTTTATTTTCTTCTGAGGAGGAACTAGGTATTTTGACAGCTGTCACCCTCTGTACCCCTGAACAGAGGAGGCCAAGGGTCCAGGTCAGAAAAGGGCCAAATACCAGCAGTGAGGGGTAAAAAAAGCCCCCACCCTGGGAGTCGTGCACACTTCGCAGATGCCAGTTTCTTCACTGCCATGGGAAATCAGACTCTCTTTTTGGTTCCCGTTGGCCCTGATCCTCCTCTCACTTAGTGTCCAAGGAAGAGGAGGATCCCAAAGCGATAGACAGAAAAATAGATAGAGATAGGTAATATGTATAGATAGATGATAGGCACTGGTGATTCGAAGAGATGGATCCGTGATAAAGGTAGATATGAATCGTTGATATGTAGGTATAGACAGATGATAGACATGGAAGAGGTGGCTAGAGATGATAGAGATGTGAATGGTTGATATGTAGGAATAGACAGATGATGGACATAGAGACGGATGGATGAGATAAACAGATGATAGTAGAGGATATAGACAGCTGGATAGGTGGGGAACACTGGGGAGGTGCAGCGCTAAAAACAGTCTTGCTGGCTTCGTGCTTTCCCCCTCCCCCTCCCCTTAATTAATCAATCACCGCCCCCGAAGGAACTGAGCCACCCCCACCCCCCTACCCCCACAAATAAACTCCAACCCTAGCGCCCCGGGTGGACTCGGGTGGAGATGCCCTCTTCTCCCCAGGGGTTCGAAGGCCTCCCCATCGGGCAGGGGACCTGCGCTCTCGGGGCTTCTCAGGTGTGTGTTGGGGGGCTTCCCCGCCTCGGGCCTCCTCAGTCCCGGTGTTTCCATGGTAACCCTGCGGCCCGGCGCTTCAGCGGCTGGGGCCTCGGATGGGAGGCCCGGCCTGGCCCCGGGGGCGGGGAGCGGGGAGCGCGCACCTGCGTGGGCCGCACCTGCGGGGGAGCTCCGCGGTCCGTCGGCCTGCGGGCCGGGCACTCACCGAGACGCCGAAGCGCGCCGAGCCGGCAGCCCCCCGGCCAGATCCTCCTCCGCAGCCGCCGCCGCCTCAGGTGGCGCTCCGACCCGCCAGCAGGTACGTGGCGTCCCTGTCACCGCAGCCGAGACGGCGCCCGGGCCGCTCCCCGCAGCCAACCCCCCCGCCCCGGTGCGGCGCCTCCCGCGGCGAGCTCAGGCTGCGGCCGCGGCAGATTCAAATGGGCCGGGCGACTACCGAGGCGCTCCCCACGCCCCCGAGCTCCCCGGGCGCCTCCGCCGCCGCCTTCCGGAGCCCTGCGCCCTCCCCGCGGCCTGCGGCCATGGCCCTGAACCCCACCGTGCCTCCCTCCCCTCCCTAATCCTTCTCCCCACCTTACCCTTCTCCCCCCTTACTCCTCACCTCCCCCATAATCTTCACCTCCTCCTGTAAACTTCATCTGCCCCCTACTCTTCACCTCCTCCCTGACTTTTCATCTGTTCTCTTACTGTTCACCCCCTATTCTTTACTTCCCCCTTACTCTTCACTCCCCCCCAGTCTTCTCTGCTTGTAATCTTCAGTTCCTCTTATTCTTCACCTCCCCTATAATCTTCACCTTCCCTTGTAATCTTCAGTTCCCCCTTACTCTTCACCTCCCACTGTAATCTTCATCTCCCCTTGTAAACTTCATTTACCCCTGTAATCTCCACCTCCTCCCTTACTCCTCGCCTCCCCTCTACTCTTCACCCCATCCATACTCTTCCCCTCTCCCCTTACTGTTCACTCCCTTTAAGGTTTACCTGCTCCCTTAGTCTTCATTTCTTTCCCATGTTCACCTCCCCTTTGAATGGGGCTTCTTCCATATTTTCGGCTTCCTGTCTTGTTGCTTACCTCACCCCTTATTCTTCTTTATCTCCCTTAATCTTCAACTCCTCCTTTAATTTGCACTTCCTCCTTAGTCTTTCCATTCCCCCATATTCACCTGTCCCTTTAGTCTTCACCGCCCATATTCCTCACCTCTCTCATTTAGACCCTTCCCTCCTTTATTACTCAGTTCCTTTCCCTCTTTATTGCTCAGCTCCTTACCCCCTTTATTCCTCAACCTCTTTCCCCTCTTTTATTCCTCAGCCCCTTCTCTTTATTCCTTAGCCCTTTTTTGGAAACTCTTCTCTCTTATTCCTCAGTCACTAACCTATAATACTTTAGTCCCTTCCTGGTCTTCCTGCAAATTGCCTCCCCAAACATAAACACCCCTTTTCTTAAGTTCCTTTTCCTGATTTATTTCTTACCTCCCATTCCCTCAAATTTTATATTCCCCAATCTGTTTTGCCTCTCATTGTCTTTTTATCTTTCTTTCCTTTACCCTTAACCCACACTCTTCCCCATCTCTTCTTGTAATTATAACTCAAAACTAGATCAGAAGAGTCAAAAGACATTTGGTAAAATCAGTCCCAGTAGAAATTACTTTTTTTTGCCTTCCCAAAACAACGCTACCTTGGATAGGGCTTTTTTCATCTCTTGTGTTTTTATTACATTCTACTCGGTTGTATAGTTTTTGCATAGTTATGTGTGACTGACCCCCCTTGACCTCTTAGATTGTGATCTCCATTAAGGCAGCAAGGACTAGATCTTAATTATTTCTGCATCCTCCCCAGGATCTAATGCAGTACTCTATAGGTGGTATGCCCTTAATATAAGTTATTCATTGGATATAATGTGTATCTAATACATGATATTCTGGAGTCCATGACGTAGTCAAGAGTGCTAGATTTGGAATTAGAGGACATGGGCTCAAATCCTTGTCCAACTACCTTTGTGACCTCAATAAATCAGTGCCACTCACTACAGCCATTGGAATTAGGGCGTTCTAAGTGCAAGACATTTGAAAATCAGAGGGACATTTATTGATTTTTTCCTATCCATTTCAGTTCTTTCATTTAGTGGTAAATGCTTCTCTAAATGTGGTAACCCCACCATTTACTAGAGAAATGGAAGTCCAGACTTTTTTTCTCCCTTACCACTTTCACTTCACACACTCCCCTCACCAATAAATCTTTCTCATAATAAATATGATCAAACAAAATAAATCCAAACATTAGTTATGCTTGAAAATGTGTCTGAATGTCTCTCTGACCAGAAAGACAAGATGCATTCTTCATGACCAGTCTTTTAAGTGTCATTTTTCTTCATATGGTTCTGTAAAGTACTCTATTTCTGGTTACGTCACTTTGCATCAATTTTATGTCTTCTTGAGCTCCCTGAATCCTTCCTGTAGTGTAAAACATGTATAGAGATTTTCTCTGTCTGTTTCCAGGTGAACATGTTGGAGCTTTAGAGCTTTGCTTCTAGCCAAATGTTATTCAGGGGCTTGCGGTGGGAGGCAAGAGTCCCATCGCTGGGTTTGAGCAACAGAAAAGCTGATCCATCAGCTGTACCGAACCAAGATAGTGTTCTCTGTCCCCTTCTTCCTTTCTTGTTTCTTAGCTACCAGACTGTTTTCAGCTGTAGTCTTGAGAATGTGGCAGAGTGCGTACTCTGCCAACACAGGCCTTAACCTCAGATTGGACTGCACCTCCTTTGGGTTCCATTTCCTTGAGTAGGTTCTGCAAGTTCAGCAGCAGCTGTGTTCACCCAGGGACATAACTGGGGGCAGAGGAAACTTCTGCCCCACAGAGGTCAGCTATCCACAAGAAGCCTGGCTATATCACCCACATAGCGTTTGCGCAGTGCAGGGTTGTGGTGAAATTTGTAAAAGGCTGAATTAACACTCTTGAAAACCTGCTTTATGTTCTTATGAGGCTTAAATATTACCTTCCAGCTGACAGTAACTGTAGTTATGTTAATTCTTATTGTGATTCTTTAACATTTTTTTTATGTGGAAGAATAAATTATATGACCCATTCCCAATTCATTACCTCCCCTCCCTGGCCCCCCAGCCCTTGATGTAATAATGGAAGAGGGAAGATTATTAAAACCTTAGGAGGGTGGGACTCCAGAAATGATTGAATAATATTCATCTATTTATTAAATAACCATAATTTTATTGGTCTTCTACATATGCAGCTAATGCAAGAGGCTAGAAGAGATATAAAGATATGGTTCCTGCCCTCAAGCCACAGTTTAATACCTGTAGCCCTTTGTTATACAAGTACTTTTTAAATTTTGATATCTTCTATTTTCATATCACCTGCATTTCTCATTGTACACTTCTCACTAATCTCCTTACTATCCCCCATAACAAAGAATTTTTTAAAAAATAAAATAAAAGGGGGCAGCTAGATGGCGCAGTGAATAGAGAATCAGCCCAGAGTCAGGAGGACCTAAATTCAAATATGGCCTCAGACACTTGATGCTAGCTGTTCGTGGGTAAGTCACTTAACCCCATTGCCTTGCCTGTACATACATACATATATATGTATGTATATATATGTTAATTAATTCAGCAAAACCAATCAACATGCCTGAAAAATCTGACATACAAAATGTTCTACACCTGTGGACAGCCCTCACCCTCGTGGCCAAACTTGGTCATTACAATTTTACAGTTGTTTTGATTGCTTTTCGTGTTGTTATTCTTTCTATTTACATTATTGTAGTCATTGTGTATATTGTTTTCTTGGCTCGGATCACTTCATTTTGTATTAGTCCATATGAGTCTTTCCATGCTTCTCTGTATTCATCATTTCTTATAGCACAGTAACATTAGTTCCATTACCTTCATATACTGTGATTTGTTTATCCATTCCCCAGTCAATGTGCATTAATTTAATTTCTAGTCTTTTGCTACCACAAAAAAATGCTGCTATAAATATTTTGATATCTATGGAGCCTTTCTTTTTTGGCAACTCCTAGGGGGTGTTTGTCTATCAGTGAAAGCTCTGGTATGGATATTTTAGTCACAATTCCAAATTGCCCTCTGAAATGAATATCTGTACTCCTAAAACTGCCTTAGAGTTTGATTGTTGACAGGCTTACCTTTAATTTCTACCTCACCAGATAAACCTGTGAATGATCACTGAAATGAATGAGCCTGGTTTTAGAGTCTGACCTCTTTTTTCCAACTAGGAAACTTGAAACTGAGGTCATGGAAACATCTCCTTTTCTCCTGTTCTACTTTATTTTGTAATCTGATTTGTTTGATCTTACAAAACAAGTCGAAGGAAGTATTGGAGATGAAGCTCTAGGAGCAGTCAGCTTGTGGAGATACAATTTACCAGTTGCTCACAAAAGGGAAAAAAAAAAGTAGAATGTTATAAGCAACAGATGTAGTGCATGTCATCTTCCCAGGAGAACCCAAGATAGAGATAGAAGATATTTTTCTTCACTTTGCATGTTATTAAGCGGTAATGTATTTCTTTTGCTCCCTTGCTGAACATGGAAAGCCAGCAAACCTTCTTGTGCTTCTTTCCCCATCTGCGGAACAAGGGAGGAAGAGGAGGTTGAGGCCACTATCCTGCACATAGTCATGTAAGCTGTCAAGCAGGCCTCAAACCCAACCTAACCACACCTTTCTCTCCAAGTCCATGACTGTTCCCTCTGTACCATGCTAAAAGCATTTTATACATTGTAGGGATTCACTCATTCCTGTGAAACAGACTTGAGCTGTTTTTAGTTCACAGAGCAAACAAAGAAATGTATTTATTTGCCCAAAGCTACAAGTCGTGAAATAAATTAGGAAGACTGCGACTCTACTAAAAACCCTACAGAATCTTTTACTCATGCGATAATAAAATGCTAACACACATTTAAAAAACATAATTAAATCTTCTTAAAAAGTTTCACAAGCCAGCCCAACAATTTCTGCAGATTGTCTCTTGGTTGATGAAAACTCAGACAGGCTGCAAGGCATGGTGGATAGGGTGCTGGCCCAGATTAGACTAGGGTTCAACTGCCACCACCTCCGATGACTGACAGTCTTGTGACTCTGGGCCTATCACTTCACCTCTGCCCCAGGGCAATCTCTTAGAACATGAACTACAGAGAAGCAGAAAAGAGCCTGGGATTTGGAGTCAGGTGACCTCCCTTCATATTCCAGTTCTACTATTTATTATCTGTGTAAAGATGTTCAAGTCACTTCACTTGTCTGGAACCCAGTTTCTTTATAAAATGAGAAGTCTGGACCAGATGACTTCTAAATCCATAATCCTAGATACTCCATATATCTTGTACAATCAAAAGTTTTACATTTTTCCTA